ATATTAATTTACCTTTATTTGAATAAATTCTCATGTTTCTTACACTGGGATATTTGCACAGTCCATTGATAAGAACTGTCTTGTATTTTGTAGACTATGGCTTAAGCTTGCCTCTGGGGGAGGATTATGAACATAAAAAACACAAACTAAAGGAGGAACTTCGACAGGACTACAGGCAATACCTTTCACAAGTAAGAAACTAACTTATTAAAACTTTAATACTGGTTTGTGAAGCAAAAATACATTAAAACTAAATTTCCTAAGAACTGAATACATTCATTTCTAGAATTTATTGCTATGTCGTGTCAGAATATTAGATGCTATGTAAAATATCCATGACAATAAATTATTGGAAAAAGCTGCTTTCAAAGGAGTTTGGTTGGAGGAGCCAAGGGAGAAATTGTATTTTGAAGGAATGAATACCTAGTTTAATTTACATTTAATCAAAAACTAGCCAAACACATTTTAGACAATGTGTACTGTAAGCCTATCCTTTATGATTAGTTTATGGTGCATTGTATTGTAACCCAGAAAATTGGGTTTCCGTTAACTAGGACAGTGGGAATTGTTAAAAGAGATGGACTGGATTAGAAAAATGAACCATGTTTGGGGGGGGGGGAGGAGAGAGATAGCCAAAACCACAACATAAATAGCTCATATTTTGAATTGTATTATAGGTTCACTTTTTCATTTTTCCTTGAGCAACAGAAAGCATGGGGAGCAGGGCACCAATATCACATAAATGAGTGGTTATGCTTTGGTATATTTTTGGCATGTGTGAAACTTGACCCTAACTTTTAAACATTTTATTTATTGACACAAGAAGTAGCAGGAACCTCTACCTCAAATTTTCAATTACGTTTAGTTAACATTGTTGTGATGTGTTATTTGACCATATTTAAGGAATTGCAGGTCAACCAGTGTTATTCAGACAAATGAAACCAGGCTGAGTGAAATGATACATCTATCTAGATTAAACATGTTAGAGGGATTTTACTCACAGATAAATGGAAGATAAAAATATTGAAGAGGCAGTTGGAAATAGAAGGGAACAAGAGAAGATAATGCCTGAAAAACAGAGGCAGTTGAAAAAAAAAACCCCAGAAGACTATTTATCTATTCAGTACAAAAAAGTGAAACATGAATTTGGATTAGAAAAATAATTTTAGTATATAATTAAACTTAGCATCAAAAGATGAACTAGCATCAAAGATTGTTTTATATCATATTTAATATCATTAATATATATGTGATACTTCACAAGGTAATGGCAGGAAGAACAAACTTGGTTAACAATTAATTTTTAAAAAATATCTACTTCCAGATGTTTTAAATTGTTTTGTGCTGAATTTTCTGTAGGTGCTTGAGTTTGTACAATGATACAGTAGCAAAGATAATAACCCTAATATGTACAGAAGAATTTCCAGTGACAGATTTCCAAAATATTGGAAATGTTTTTAGAAGTAGTTAAGTTTAATAGTGTAAATTAATATATTAGATACTATTTACTGCACTTTTTATGAATCAGCATCTTTAAATTGTTTTCAATTTGCACATGTCTATCTAAAGGAGGAAAAAGATTCAGAACTATTGTTAAGATGAAATCTGTTTTCCAAACTTTTAGGGTATGTCACAGGCAAAAAAAAAGGTACGATGCTTGCATTATGCTACTCTTCAAATTAATATCTCACTTTATTTGAATGTGCTATTAAAAAGTCTTGGGTGAAAAATCAGTCTTTGTGCTTAGCTTTGTTTTGTGGCTGTCCCATCATTAAAATATTGATTTTCACATTCTATTCATAATTTTCTGTTCATTTCATCTTAACTGTACAGATGGTCTATCCTGTATTTCAATGCAAAATTGATAATTCTGTATTACCGAAATATAATGAATACAGGACATATAAAAATGATTATCAGTTTATATTAGCTTTAAGTTATTTCTACAACATATAAGGATCATTTGATATTTACTGTATTTCATTTTTTATAGAAAAGGTATTTAATATCAGGGGAAGTTGATCCATATACTCAAGGACTTTCTCTTCCTATTTGCGACAGAAGATCTGCTAAGGTAAGTTCTTGGAAACTTAAACAATTTGCAGAACTGTTATGATTTGCAAATATATATTTTGGTGTATTTTAACTTGCAAACTAGAAAATAAAAAGTTTAACAATCAAAACTAAGTTGATGCAATAAGTGGTGTAAAGTAAGATTAAAGTTCAAATTCTTTTGGTGCCATTTTTTAAAAACTAGTCTACCTGTTACTTTACCAACTTCTGATTTCAAAATAATTTCCCCATGTGATTGGATAGCTAATTACAGTACTGCATTCCTGCTGGCATGTATAAATGATCAAATAGTCAAGTTTCAGGGAAATTGTTCAGAGTACTTCCTTCTGATTTTATATTGTTAATGCTAAAAAAAAATAACAGCTCTTGTACTTTCAGAAATGAATATCATATTATGATTTCCTTGTTCAAGTGAAACTTTGTTTTGCTTTGGCAAAATGCATTTTGCATTGTTGTGGTCCACTGGTATATGAAATTATAAATAAATCTCAAAAACCTTGATTTTAGTTAACATGTAGAGTTTCAGTGTTTTTATATGCTAATAGATATCTGTATAAAATTGAAATCTGAGTTTTTTTGCAATCTTGCTTCATATATAGACAAATCATGTCCCTATGGTTTAAAACCTTTTGCTGCTTCTGATATTTGTTCTAGGACAGGTTAAGACTTGAAAGAAACAAGGAATACAATCAGTATCTCAGGGAAAAGGAAGAATGGAATGAAAGGTTAAGAAAAGTAGGGAAGAAACAAATAGAGGTAAAAGATAGATTTTTTTCAATCATACTGGAAACTATGGAATGATAACTATGATTCAGCTGTAAGAAAGATTAATTGAGGATTGACAATAATCTTTTTCCTATTCCTTTATATAAACCCATTAGTTTATAAATACAGATTTTTGTGTACTTATGAGACAATAGTGGACTAACATAGGTAGAGGCAATATAATATTGGCTGGTTTTTTCTAGATTTTTATCAGAAAGTTTATATGACATCATTTAAACCTGCTATTTTTAACCTCTTTTACTTTTGCTTGCCATTTTTAAATATGTGAATGAGAGGGAAAAGTAATAATGATATTTTTGGCATATGTTTTTCTCTGTATTTGTTTTAAAAATGCCTAGGCTACCTATCACCTCATATAAATTGATGTACAAAGGAAATGACGTGTCAACTGTCTCAAAATTATACAATATCCCCTATAAAAGTGGGGGGGGGGAAACCCTGAAATATAAAGCCATTTCAACCAATCCAATCCAACAGATTGAATTTATAAAAGGTTAAATGGCTAGAAAAATATAAAAAGCTTAAGTTGATGCCCAAACAAATGCAGGGTGCTAATCTGATATTTCTTGAGAGAGCGTTTTAAAGTCATGGCATTACCAAATATAAACCTCCTTCCACTTTGTATCTTGTATTGCATGTGTTATATTGAAAGCAGTTCGTTGTGGTTATTTAATGTGCAATTACATTTCCTCTGGCTTTTTGAGTTGTTTGTGAAAATGGCTAATTAAAATTAAAATGTGACTTAAAATTGAAAGAAATAAAACCAAAACAATTTTGCTGTATTTAGTCTTTAAATATTTGTCTTGTATTAACAGCATGACACAGATATCCATAAGCAAAATTTTGCTGTTAACAGAATCCAATCAGAATTATATGCTCCAAATGTGTCTTTTCAAAAAGATGAAGAATCCAGCAAGAAAGATGCTTGTACAGCTACAGATACCTATGATGGGTTATCAAATATAAGATTATTGTTAGACCAACAGCATAAACAAGATATTGAAACTGGTTTGGGGGATTCGTTACTGAATAAAACACTTGATGAAAAACTGAACATTTCCAGTCGAAAGCAAGGAAAGCTGGATGGCAAATCGGATAACTATTTCCAAAGATATCACAAGTGTGAGGATCATGATCCTGAAATAAATGATGAAATGGATCCCAGGTTTCGATATGAAAGTGACTATGACAAAAAACCATTGCGGGTCTTTCATGCCCAAAGGTAAATTTACCTTCCTTATTAGTGTACTTTGTGGTGAGTGGTGGTAAGCATCTTTGTCCCTGAGTTCAACCGTCCCATGCCAGTTCTCTCTATCCTAGATAACTATTTTAAGGCTAGCAATTCTCCTATACTACTGTACTTCAGCTACCTCGTTCTGTATTCAGAACATTATAGTATCATACTTATTCCATATTTGTAATGTTGAGTACAGTTTCCAGAAACTTTGAAGGAAATCTATACATATATTTTAACATAAAATGAATAAACACCAATCTTAAATGTATGCTGTTGAGATTATTTCACTTTGATACCTAGAATTTATTTCAAAATCTGAGGATCATGAAATCAGAATATTAAGTATCAGTATTTATAAGGGTTATCCTTTAAAGTTAGTATTTACATAAGAGCATTACAATGCCTTAGAAATAAAGGCCCCAAATAAGCCCCTAGTCACAGTACTGTATGTGACACAATACTGCAGGTGCTGTATATTTCTCTTCCTAGTAACTTCAGCACTTTGGTTTTTCCCTTACCTCTCAGCCTTTCTATAGTACTATGATTCAGTAAGGACTATCTTCTTCCCTTGAATAAAACTCTTCTTGTGAAAATGAAATGTGTAGAATTATGATTAAATTCCCTGAAATAGTGGATCAGATTTGTAGTTGCAAAATATTTATTTTAAAACATGGATATGCTTTTATCAATTATTTAGGTATTCCTGTATGTATTGCTATCAGTGACAGATTAAAAAGGAGAGTAATACATGATTGTGGCTTCTTTTTACATTCAGGTACTCTTGGGTTATAACGGGAATTGGGACTGGAATTTCCATCACTAAGTGATGTGGTCATAAACCATAAATATCCCATGACTATCGCTTAGCAGTGGCAATCCTGGCAGTTCCCATTGCCACTGTTAACCAAATCCCATTAGTCATTAGGTGAGGACCCACCTAATAATCCAAGTGATTTCTGGCTTGGTCCTCCTAGGTTGAGCCTTGGTATTGTAAGGGACTGCCTCCTCTTGAACTTTCCTCACCCACCTATTTCCCACCATTGTTATCCTTTTGACTGCCCTGACAATGGCACTCCTTGGTGGCAGAGGTAGCACTGGAGTTGAAATAATGGCCCAGAGCCTTCAGATGGCTGCCACTGCCACCCCTGGACCTCAACTTCAAGCCCCATGCCATGGCCAGCCACCTAGTGCCACAGCACAAAGCCTCTGCTGCCCCCATTGCTCTGTACTTCCTAGGCCCTGTTGCCCCCAGCTGACTTTTGCTGTCTTCATTCCCTATGTGAGGCAGCTGCTGGATGTGACAGGCCTTCTTTCAGAAGCTGCATGTGTGCCTCTCAAAATGGCATGCATGAGGCTCTAAATTGTATGCTGCCTTCTCATGATGCTTCTCACAATGCTTCTTGCAATGTTCCTTGTGATGCTTCTGAGCCCTTAAAAAGTATTGTAACTAAGAGCCATAACTTCAGGGACCAGTTGTAAATACCATTTGTTCAGTGCAAATGGTTAATGAATAAATCATTAATTGAGGACTAGCTGTATTAAGATTCATTTCCTGTTGAAGAATGATAAGGTGACGAATGTTCCCCTGGGACTAGTACAATTTTTATCAGCATCTGTTTTGACACTTTTGCAACTTTGTCAGTTATACCTTTAAATAATATTTTAGATACTTTAGGATGTACCATTAAATACTATTCTAAGTCTGCTTAAACATTCTATATTTTTAAAAAATGATTTAGTGTGGCTAATTTTTCATCTTTAATTTCAGAAGTCAAGGAAATTCTCCTATTGAGCAAGTACAGACTGCTGTTGATAGAGTTCCATATGCCACAGGACTAATACTTGGTATGTTTGAAAAAACGGGATACTGAAAAATGTTATATTTTGATACTACATGTAATTATTGTTCAGTTGTTTCATTATGCTTAGCGCCTAATTAAACCAAAGAGTAATTAGGATTGATGGCTGAGAAAAGGCCCCACTGGAGCAACCTTTTCAGGAATTCTGGCCAGCAGCTGAGATTCAGGAGATCATGGGGGCCATTGTCAAGAAGATAGATAGTTGGTATCCCAGGAGTAACCTCAGCTTGTCAGAACAGCCCAATTTCATGCACATATTCCTGCAGTCTAGTTATTGCAAACCTTCTTTCCTGAACCTGGTATCAACAATAGCTATACGATCTAAAACTCAGCTTACCAGATTTCTGATAAGCAGTGCTTTTTTTCTAAAAAAAAAAAAAAAAAGGTGCCGGAACTCACACACATCATACAACCTGCCTTGCCTACCCTACAAGGTTCCATCCAAAAAAGGTGCCGGAACTCCATTCTGGGCATTCTATCTTTATCATTGCACAGCCATATCTCGATTATGCACACACCAGGTCCACAACCTTTATCAACACTTTATGAGCAGACAGATTATTATTGCACATAGACCTGGCATTTATCAACATCACTTAGAGTTCAGTCACTTGGACCCAGGATGGTGTAGCTGACTTAGGAGGAAACTGTACTTACATGCAAATGAGATGGAGTGCTATATGAATTTAATAAATTGAATGTGACATGCCGACTTATAATGGTAGTTCTGGCAGTCCCAGTTGGCATTGTTAGGCAAATCCCACAAAATCAGTGTCCTGATTGCCATTTGTGATCTTCTGCCTTTGCTTTTCTGACAAGCAAAATCAATAAGGAAGCCGGCAGTGAAGGTAATAAATGGTAATCATATGATTTCGGATGCTACAATTTCATAATTACAGGCTGGTTGCCAAGAGCCCGAATTTTGGTCATGTGACTATGGGGACTTTGTAACAGCTGCAACTACAAGGACTCGTTCCTCTCGTTCAGGGTAATTAGAATAGTTGCTGGACCTTAAATGAGGACTACGCATATTTCAAATACATGAGTCCCAGCTGCTGCTTTCTACATCTCATCTCTGATGTCAATATCAACAGCAGCTCTTCCTTCTCAAACACCTGTCCACGGTGGGGGCACCATTCACATAGATACCTCCCACTACTAATGCGGCCGCCTATGTAGCAGATTTCTGGCAAACTGTTGCGTATTTCTGAAATATTTTCAGGTTTCAAAATTTTAAACTCAAAAATTTCTTGCATTTCACTGTTTTTTTCATTCTCAGATCTTCTAACTTGTCTTTGTTCAAACAGTAATTTTCTTATTCTTACTTCCTCAACGCTTCCAACATTCTCTCTTCAACTGCACTCAAGAAAACCACTATTCTGATGGAGGAATTTAAAATATTAGATAGTTTAAAAACATTATAGTCTTGTTTCTTCTACTTTCTCATTCTCCAAAAAATAATATGAGGTGCCTTAGATAAAGCTGATTAAACATTGCATTATTCTCCACTACTTTTATTGGTTGCTGCATTTGAAATTTGAAAAATAAATCAAGCTTGAAGACTGAGATATGGGGGATTGGATCTCCTGAATTTTTTCTTGTTTGACGTTAGAGATCATCTGCAGATATGACTCCTAGTTAAGTAAGATATAATTGTTGTGCTGTTGTTTCTTTGAAAATTGTTACTACTGATCTTTCAGTAATATGAAACATGGTTCACTAAAAATGGCAGAGTGCCATATAATTATTAATTCCAGTGGGAATTCAGAACCATTTTATCTGGTTTGTTATCTAGTGAATAAGCTGTAATTCAGTTTTTGGTTGTAAAGATGTTTCTTACTATGATTACAATGTTTACAGAGCTGTGCAGTATGAATAAATATGGCATATTTTTGGCTGAAGAGAAAGATATTTGCTTCTGTGTTTATTTCCTTTTTTAGGAAGTCAAGACAGAGAATTTATTCAGAAAAGAAAAGAACAATATAGGCAAGAATTAATAGAGCAAATAGCTGAGCAGCAAAGAAATAAGAGACGGTAATAGAAGACTGATGATTAAAAAATGTTTCATGATTGATTAGTAATAACACTTTTATTTTTTACAAGTAAATTGTGATTAGTTTGAATAGTGTAATATCGGATTTGGTGCAAACTATAAATTGATACTACGTCATCTTAAGGCAATCCAGAATTCAGTTAGTGCAAGGCTAATGTGATGCATTTGGAGCAAGTGCATGCACAATTGCCACTAAGAGTTTAGATGCTAATAATTTTGTGTGGAAAATGGAGGAAAGGAAGGTTCCGCTCAAGAAAAACTCAGAAAAGAGGTTAATTTTGAAAAACTACAACAGAATATATAAAATAAGCACATACATTTTGTAGATGGGTTACCCTCTTTTACTGGAATACAGTACTTCATTAGTAAATATAAAATTTTACATTTAAACATTTTAATTTCTATTGAGCTGGAACCAATTAATCATAGATAGATCACTTTAAATAGTGTGAATTCAGATACAGTAATGTGATCATTACATAGGATTCATCAATTGCACTAATCAAGACCTACCTATGTTAGCACTTACATAAAATAATATATCCACATGATAACTTATAATTTCTTTTTCTGTCTGAATTGTATTTTAATCTTTGAATTGCATATTGGAAAAGAATATTCTCTCTAAAGTATATACATAACTACAGTGTGTAGTTTTTAAAGCAATTCATTTTGTAGATAATGTTGTATGAGCTTTCACAAATCTGATTGTAGCAGCTTTGGATATACACAGAATACATTTCTTTATAAGAATTTTAAAATTTTTCAGTATTAAGTATAAAATAGGGTCTAATGCAAAATACAAATATTCATGTGCTGGTTTGTGTAACTTTGCTTTATAACAAAAAGAAATTTGATTTTGTTCTAGATTTTATAAGAATGTTTTTTTAAATTGGTCAAAATTTATAGTAAAATGTAGTATGCTTTTAAAAAAAGCTACAGTAATTATAGGTTGAAATGAAGGAAATGTCCAAAATACAAACCTCATGATTGAAAACTTTGGTGGTAAGTTTTGGACATTCTCGAGTCTTTCCATCCTTTGAGATCTGTCTCAATGTTTTGGAAAATGATGTTTTTAATTCCTTTTTATTAGTTCTAACATAAGTATCGGCCAGCTATGGATTTCTGAAGTTAGGGATTTAGTTTATTTGATAGATCTATGGCTCTCTATGGATCATTAAATGGATCTGTTGGCCTTTTTTGTATCAGAGCACTGATTACAACGACTTGAGCAGAAGAAGCTGTTGCGTTCCCAATGGGCTTGATGATTCAGCTTGAATCTGAAAGATCTGGATTATACGTTGAATTATCTTAGATAAATAAAATATCTCAAGCTAATATGTGTGTTAATCCTCAGTGAAAGTGTGTTTCTTCCTCTTTATTTTAATAGTGAAAAGGAACTTGAATTCTCTGTTGCTGCATCCGGAATTGTAGACCCTGAGAAAAAGGTGAATTAATTATTCAGTTCTTTTCAAAGTCTAAACAACTGATTTAAAGTCTGTATGAGAGTGTATGAGAGCTCTGTTTTTAAACACCTACCTAGATTTCTCCGTCTCATATTAGAAGATTAATAGGACTGCTTAACCACAACTTTCTATTCTGATAATATTATGGAGGGATTGTTATTCAAAGAAGATATTTCTATCTAGCAATTCAAATACTAGTCAGTTGGGAATGGAAATAAATTGCAATAGAAGTGGATTTCTATAATTCAGCAATATAAGAAGGTAATAAGACTTTTTTTTCTTTACCAAGCAGCAGACAAGGTTTAAATCATAACCTCAATATAACTTAAAAAGTTTGCACAAGGCCCACAGCATGTTTGTGACTCCTTAAAATAGCTCAGTCTTTTCTGGGACTGTCACTTTACATAACTGTAAAGTGACCCCTCCGCCCCCCCAAAAAAAGATGTATTTGGTTTAAGGAGTTGCAGGTTGGTTCTTTGTGTACATTCACAGGCATCTAAGTCACTTTTTGTTTCAGAATCCAAAGGAAATTTTATGGAAAATTATTGTTTTTAACATTGTAAATGAAGCTTATGGTCTGCACTGTTTAAAGTTATATCAGATAGGCATATCTTTCAGCTAGAGGTCACACTTAGTTTTATTTTATTTTTTAAATTAGGATTTTGAGGGCTGAAGGAGATATGAGAATGGCAACAGTGATGTTACTGGATGGCATGTGCTTAAGCAATTGGGATTTTGGAGAAGGGTTGAGAGAGATTTAAGGCATGATTTATGCATTAAGCCAATAAAACTTATAAAGGCAATATATTTTTAGGCTCTAGAAATGTTGTAGAAGAGCCTGAAGTGAGAAGTTCATGCAAAGACACCCATAAACTCCCCTGAGTTGGAACTGATCTGTAAAGGAGAATTGGCTAAAATTCCTCCAAGCCAATGTGCAGGATGAATAACTACTTATTGGAAATATTTAGTTTCAGGTATTATTGCTTAAAGGGGGCATATGAGTTACTGAAAGTAAAGGATCATGTACTTTTGCCACATGAAAATATGTAGCTTCGGATCAATTTCCTCAAATAAATGAACAGATATAATGCTTTTGACTCATTTGTTTAATTAACCAGTGGAACAGCTTGCCTTCAGAAGTTGTAGGGGCTTCATCACTGGAGGTTCTTAAGAAAAGACTGGACAGCCACCTATCTGAAATGGTATAGGGTCTCCTGCTTGAGCAAGGGGTTGGACTAGATCCTCAACCCCTGGTCCATGGACCAGTACCAGGCCATGGCATGCCAGCAACCGGTCCACACAAACAAGCAAAGCCCCATGCATGGGATGCAGGCAGCACACAAAACCACACACCCTCTGGTTCCCAGAAAAACCTCTCTCCACAGAACCGGTCCCTGGTGCCCAAAAGATTGGGAACCTCTGGACTAGAAGACCTCCAATGTCCCTTCCAGCTCTATTCTCTAGTCTGATTGAATTGAGTCTTTATAGTTTTAGGACTTGTGTTGAAAACAATCATGTTTTAGGTCATATTTATGCAGAAATATTGAACATTCAAAAGTGTTCACAAACCTATAGCCATCACTGTATGTAAATTGTGGTATTTTTGATATTTAGTTTCTGTTCCCCCATCCCACTCAATCCGTGACCTTAATAGAATGTCTGCTATAAGTTTGTTGTTTAGTGAAATATTATATATAAATGTCATAAATTCTTACTAGATGGTGCTCTGTTACATCATTAATAGTGTCATTCTGTAATGGAATCTATTTTTTTAAAGAAAGAATAAGCTATATTGCCTTATCAAAAATAGCTATAATCTTCAGGTATATTAATTTGATGATTATTGGCAAATAGATTATTGAACTGTGGGTCATGATAATCTTCTGGAAATTCCCTTTGTTCTCAGTGATATGTATCCACAAGAGGTAGATCATATGACTATCTTGGTACATTGGATGCAGTATAGTTACTTTGGAAAATGTATGGTGGGATAATCTGTTTTTCAAAATAAAGTATAACAGAAGGACAAATGAATGTAGGTATAGCTAATATCTTAAGGAAAAAATAAAAAATGCATTAATAATGAATTAGTTTTCTGAAAGCTGATAATTTTCATAATTTAAGCACTTGAGCATGCTACTTACTTGGGTATTTTCCTTATTTAAAAATATGGTCTGGTTAAATAAAGACTACTTAGGAAAATTGAAATCATTTTTTAAATTTATTTGTCAACTGAGATTTAGAGAATTACCATTGTTTTAATATACATGGATACAGTCCAATGAAGTAAGGATGCCATAACATAGAGGAAGCATTTGTTATGTATTTAATTAAAGAGTTTGAAAGTACCAATGTATTTATGTTTTGAGCTATCCCATTCTATCTCCTAAATTTTACTAAGTCCAACTTTTGAACTTACAGTATACATGTCTAACTCAGAAATAAATCTGACTAAATTCAGTAGAACTCACTCCAGATAATACGTTACATAAGACTGTATTCTGAATTGGCAAAATGGGAAACAAAGGGTGCTTTTAAAAATGTTCTTCAATTCTAACCAAAATAACTTTTAAGACACTCCATTAAATAAATGTTCTTATAGTATTGAAACCAACTATACAACCTTATAATTGTGTAACAACTTGAATGTAACAATTTGTATGTGATCTATGGAGTTCTATAGTTGTTTACTAACAGTATTGTACATATATTGTATAGTGTATATGCATTATAGTATACAGCCTAATCTTTTTTCTGTGCTCTGTTCCTTATAAACGCCAAATGCTATACATAACAAGTATTTTGCAACCTGATAACGTGCATTGGAAGCTAAGGTCCTCCAGACTGAGAATAGACTGAGGCCTCTGCTCATTAATGTGACACCCTTGTGCTTTCAGCAGAAAAGGAAAAGCCAGTTATCTTTTTTGGCTTGTGCCTATATTTTAGTTGAAAGGAGGAATAGAAGATGATGGCAAATGGGGAATAATTCTGTTATCATGCAGGATTACTTTGATTGGATAAGAAGACATGGTGGATGCACTTTTTACATCTAGGTGTCACATTAGGTTTTGCATATCTCGTTGTTAGATGCTTTCTTCTACTAAAGAGAAAATGCATTATTGGGTACTTACCATGAAAGCTCCTTTTGGTTTGTTATGATGGAGGTATTTTAATCATATTCTAGTCAGATTAACTGACTTTACAGTATATGCCAACAATATTCCACTGCTTAATTTTTTTATACAAACTAATATACTACACAGGTTGCATTTTATTATGTCATTTTATTTGTCTGAAGTTTGCCCACCAAGAAGGAGGAGGAATCATATAACATAGAATCCTTTATTGAAACTTTTACATAATATTTTCCCTCTGAGTAGTATGATGAGATTACTTATTGTGGTTGCAAGTAGAATGAGACTTCATGGTTAGTGTTCATGCAACCTTAATGTTCCTAAACCTGAAACAATTTGAGTAACTTAAGAAACTAAGCAATAAATAAATCAACTTTCTTTCGTAGCCCAACAGACTAAAAGAGTTGGGATTAAAGCCACATATATCTGAGGAGAAAATACCACCTGAAAGGCCAAGACCAGCTTTCTATACTCCTTCTCCTGGAATTACTTCTATATCTGCACCTCCTGTGTCACCGGTGAATGAAGATTTCCATAGAGGCTTGTCCAGTGCTCTTGGAGAAGTGTTGGCTCCCAGGTGATTTTCAGTAGTGTTCGCTTTAAAATTGGGTAATGGTTAGAAATGGTTTTGCCCAGAAACCTCATCTGGGTTTTGCCCAGAAACCTCATCTTCACATTGCTGCTTTTGGTGACTAATTAACTGAAGAGGTTTTTGGTTAATCCTACTTTTCCAATATATGCAGATTGAGAAGATAGGGTTAGAAAAACGTCAATTTCTCAAAACATGTGGACCCTTTTTGAAGAAGTTGATTTCTGCATGCTTGACACTAGGAATGAAGCAGTGTTAAAAGGACAAAATGTCTAGGAACCTGGGCATTGAGTTAGATTTGTGTATCTGAACTTGACCATTCCATTAAACCCATACAGAAAAATGAGTAATGGTTTCCTTTGTAGGCACGGCTTTCAAAGAAAAAAAAAGGGAAAAAGTGGTATTCTGTCTTTCTTTTAATGTGAACTTGTGATTTGGGTAACCATTAACAGGTTTAAATTAGGGTTTCCATATGTTCATTTTATAAATCTCATGTATTTTACATTAAATTTAGTTGATTACAGTTTACTTTCTTGTAGTCTTTTGTTCTAGATCAAACATTGGATTGCACTACATTGATTCTGATTGCTTCATGCCAAAGAAATGAATGTCCCTTTTACACATATTTTCCTGGAATCTCATGCCATAAATAAATATCGGAAGTTAGATTAGAGTGGAACAAGCTGTTTCAGATAGCACTTCAGTTTAATATCTTCTTGCAATAATAATTTATTCAATCTCTAACTTTTTGAGATGAGTCTTTTGTGCAATATTACAATTTTTGGATAAATGATATGAATAAGTAAATGCTATAAATTCCGTTTTAATTAATCATAAGCTAAACATCCAGTGCATGTCATTTAAAGTTTTAAGAATAGAATATATTCTTTTTCTAAAGGATACTTACATCTTCATACTTCTGAAAATGATAACATATAAATGTCTAGGACATTTTTGGACATTTACCAGATTATCAAGATTTGCAAGAAAAAATATTTCAGATTAAAACATCTCCCCCTGTAATTTCAAGAAATGTGTGAAACTTTTTCTATAGTATTTGTTTCTATAGTATGTTGTCATTTACAGTATAAATTAAAGCAATTGTAATTTTCCTATATTGCATTAAAATTATAATTGTAAAATCTGCTTACTTCATTTTCCATCTGTTTTTCCAAATTCCAGAATAGTTCTGGTGGATGTAACTACAGTGTTCTTTTTCCCACATTTTTTACTTAAATATTTATGTTCTAGCATTGCCTTTTTCATATGTGTTTCTCAAGGGCTTATAGCATCTACATTTTCTTTGATTAATTTCAAAAATATCTCTATTTTTGAATATGGCTATTCGATCCATTAATATTTGTTGGGAATATTTTTATTTGTTCCAGGAGGTCAGTTATTACTTAATTTTATGGAAAAATAGCTGCTGCTTAATCAAGTGTTTGATCTTCTGTATTATTTCTCTTAATAACTTCCTGCCCCAGACAGAAGCACAACTAACTTAGTAGAGTAAGCTGGACAAAGTGATCCTAGCCATGCTACTATTTTCTCTTCTAACAGTAACAACAAATCTGGAAAAATCGCCAACACACCAATTTATTTGTTCAGGGATAGTGCAACCTCAACTAGAGCTAACTGGAACTGATCTTTATGAATGAGCTGTACCATTTTAAAAAGTTGCCTCATCTTTTTTTGTGTAGAATTGCCCCCATTCCACCACCTCTTCCACCACCAATTTTGACTGATAGTTATAGAACTCCATATGATGATGCCTACTACTTCTATGGCACCAGAAATCCTTTGGATCCCAGCCTCGCATATTGTAAGTTTTATTTTATTATTTTCTTTAGATATAGTTTGTCTTTCATAGATAAATGTTACTGAATTGAGGGATGGTGATGAATTACAGAAATATAGAAATGCAAGTTGGGTTCAAAAGTTCCCAAGCAGTGCTTACCTCATCCCAAATTTTGTAGCGGCTTTGATGATAATTCTTTCAGCTTTCTCTTTTACCCTCCTTCTTCCCACACCATCAAAAGTAAATGGGAGAAGAAAAACAGCTGTTTAAAGCTGTTCCTCTATTTAAAATTATTTCTGCCAGTGTGCCTTCTGGGAAGTATATATTTTTTCTTCTGATTGATTTAACCTGGAAGAATTAAAAAATAATATAGGTTAGTCCTTGGGTTATGATGGCAATCGGGACCAGGATTGCTGTCACTAAGTGATGCAGTTGTAAAGTGTGACATTGTCACTGCATTACTTAGCTAACAATCATAATCCCAATTAGCTAACAATCGTAATCCTGACGTAACAGGATTGCTAAGCAGGAAGAGGCAGAAGTCCCAGATAATGAGCAGGAGTGCAGTCGGGGAGGCAGGGGAAGGGCTTGGGGAGGGGGGGCTGTGTTAGGGTTTTAGAGACTTTCAGCTTCTCTTTGTATGGCACATTTTAATCCCCATATCTGTATCTTTGTAATCTGCCAATATCCATTTGGACATGTGGTGCCTAGAATCATACACATTAAGAGTAAAGAGTACAAGATAATAAGGACTTCAGATGTCTCTGATACAGTGCTGTTTATAATGTAGTCTGGAATTATACTGGCTCTTCGAATAGCTCATAGTGTTGACTCATGTTTTTCTTGTCAGTGACCACACCCAAGTCCTTCTCTGACATAGTGCTTCTAAACCCCATATCCCTCATTTTGTATGGATGCCCTACCTTTTTCCTCTTTGAATGTAACACCTTTCATTTCTCCTTGTGGAAAGATTTCTTGTTCCTCTTAATCCAGTCTTCCAATTTGTCTAAATTAGATTTCAATCTCATTCTGTTTGGGGGGATGTTAAACAGTAGTTTCTAGTATTGTGTCATCTGCAAATTTGATAAGCAACTCATTAGTGTTGCTATATAGGCTATTAATTACAATGTTGAATAATACTGAAACCAAGACCAGATCCCTACAGGACCACCTTGAATATAGAGCCATTAATGCTAACACTCTTACGACCATTTGTTCAGTGACTGAAGTTACAATGGTCCTGAATAAAGGGATGTATGATCCATGCCCAAAATTAAAGCTGTTCCAGCCCTCCCCCCTATGGTCACAAGATCAAAATTCAGGCACTTGAGAGTCCACTGGCACTTATGATCACTGAGCATTTCATATTCTCCCATCTCTGTTTTTGCTGATCTGTGATCTGCCACCCTGGCTGCTGGATGAAGCTGGATCTGGGCTTCGGCTGTAAAAAAAATAAAAACGAAGCCAAAAGCAACCCCAGAGCTGTGATGCTCCAAAATGCTCATTTGTGTCAAACTCCTGGACCAAGTTGGACGATGCTTCAGCTGCAGACAAAAAAACCCAAACAGCCACAGTACCAAAATGCCTCTTTGTGCTGCAAAAAAAAGAGGGATAAAGCTTTACAGGAGTGTGCAAAGGGCATTTTGGCATGCTGAAGCTCTGGTGCTGCTTTTGACTTGAGCGTGTTGCAAAAGAGCCTTTGGTTCACTACGGCTTTGGAGCTTTTTTTGTTTTTTTACAGCCAAAGCCCAACCCCAGCCTGGCCAGCAGCCATTCCAGGCATGACTCATCAACAGCAGGAACAAGAAGATGGCAAAGATGATATTTATTATTTCAGAATATGTATATTATGTTTTGCTATACATCTGAGATTTACATTTTGAATATCTTTGCTATTTTAGATGGTGCAGGCACAGTGGGGACACAGCCTTCATCTGCCCCACCACCTCTTGATACTACTCAAAAACCTCCTCTGCCCATGTAGGTATAAAAAAGTACAAAGTAAACAATAGTTTATATTGTTTATTTCTAGATGTGCATACAGTTTTGAAATGATTGCCAGCTTTCAGAACTTAACATAATATATAAAGCTGACCACTTTTGTAGCTGACAAGATTATACAGGAAAATTATGAAAACATCACTTAAAATACACTTTGTTTAAATCTTTTTGAGGCAGCAATAAAATTGGAGCAAGCATTGCAAGTATTAGACCAAAAGGTTTGGGAATATTTCCTGAGGAAAAACCAAAACCCACAAGAGAGGCTACCTTAGCTTATCAACAAGAATTACAGCAGCAGGTATGAAGCTGAAATCTGTCCAGAAATTATTTTTTATTTTGAATTGAGGTATTAATTTTTAACGAAACTTTCATCAGAGCAAATAATATTTTCTGGTAAGTAATTTCTCATGGATAAGCCAAATGATCTTTATATATTCTAGTAAGAGGTAATAATTTAAAATATTTACCTCAATTTCTTATTAATATTATCCATTTGTGCTGCAGAACGTGAAATGTGCTTATATATTGTATTCATACACTTTGAATTTCTAGATAAATATTGACATCAGTGCATTTAAAACAGACAGCTTGATCCAGGCTACCTTGGGTGCATTGCCAAAATAGAGACCCTTCTATTCTCCATCTCTCTTCTCCCTCTTGTCCACCCCTTTTGTTTTCTGTGTACATGGAAGTATTATGCAGGATGATAAAATTTCAAGGGACCAGAATGGTACAGTGGTGTTTAAGAGTTTGTGACAATTTGAACCTTCAGTATTTCCTGCACAAATATGACCTAAAACACAATCTGTTTTCCTCATGTTCCAAAACTAGATAAAGAGAACCCAATTAAATAAATGAGTCAAAACCATTATACTTATTTATTTATTGAGGAAAATGATCCCTAACCCTACATCTACAGTATAATGTTTTTTAAACAAAAGGAAAAAAAACACATTTTGCTAATATGGTTTATTATATAAACATTATTTAACGTTCTGAATGAAAACCCATACCTGAGAGTTCTGTGTTAGGATTTTGCTTTTCTTGTTTATGTGTTTGCATTTATTTATGGTAAATAGGTCTGCAGTATACTTCCAACTTTAAAATATTATTTACAACATTATTACAACATCAAACTCTTAACAATATTACAAAATATGAACATTGAAAATAGCTTTCCAAAAATGTTAATAAGTATAAATATGTTAGGGTTATTATTTTTAGTGCTGGTCTATGTATTCCTGATGATTCTTTTATACACCAATAAAGAACTGGACATTTTTGCTTAACCTAATTTGTTATGATATGTCATGATAGGAGAATATATGTCAGTATTGTTCAAATTCAGTATTTGTTAAAAATAATTGCTGTTTTATGTATATTTTATATAGATAAGGGAAAGAGAAGAACGTCGTAGGCAAGAAAAGGAAGAAAAAGAACGCTATGAAGCTAAAATGGAAGCTGAAATGAGAAATTACAACCCTTGGGGGAAAGGAGGGGGCGGAGCTCCTCTCAGAGACAAAAAAGGAAATCTTATAAGTATGTTTGAAAATCTAATTGCCTTCCTTTTAGTTCTTCAGACTTGTAGCTGTTTATATACACTCTCTGCTAAAGAACATCTTGACACACAAGTAAAATGGATGTACTACAGCGAATTTACAGCATAGAAGGATTTTTTTCTAGTTAAATAGTGTGGTTGAAAAATATTTGCTTTTGCTTCAACAAGAACTATTTTTATAACAGGATTTTTAAAAAGTTAATTTGACAGAATTGCATTAAGAAAATGATCGTTGGAGCAAAAAGGGGAATCATGGGATATCGTAAATAACTGTACCAAGAATTTTTTTTTGTAGACTTTTATATATTCTCAATAAAGAGGCAATTGAATTGCAGTATCCTTATAAAAGTTGAAGGATCATTTCTTAGTACATATCTTCCTATGTAGAAGTTCTGGCTTTTCAAAATAAATAACAACTCAGTTAATGTTAACTGTTATCCAAAGATGTTGTATGTGTCCTTTTGGAACATGTGTACATCCAATAGAGATTTTAATTTGTATAATATTTTAGTAATAATTTAATTGGAATTATAAAAGTGCACTGAATGTTTAACAATGTTAGACTAGAGCCATTGCTTCTTTTCACTGACTGCTTCCTGGGCAGAATTCTGTTCATTGTGCTTAAGTTGGGAGGAAGGAGTAAAAACCAGCTTTGTTAAATCTTTTTTTCCTGCACTTTCCACATCTGAAATACTATATTTGAAGTAGATTATCCAAAACAATAGAAAAATACAGGAGATTAACTAGAATTTATTTCTCTTCATTCTTTGAAAATGCTGTTGAATTAAAAGCCTTCTTGTAAAGAGAAGACACCACTCTCTTCATAAGAAGAGATGGTCAGTTCAATCCTTCATATATAAAGTTTTAAAATTCCTAAATTTTAAACTAAATATTGCATTAATCCTTTAACAGTATTAGGTAAAACTAAAATGTAATAACAAAATTGAAATAAGAGTACTACAGATTGAGTGACCTGAACTCTTATAGCTAAATTGGATGATAATATATTTAATTTTAAAAAGTTTTTTAAAAAAATACTTGACTTATAGTAGAGCTTGAAATAGGAATATTGTGCACAACACACATAATTCTGTCTTTGAGGCCCTTGTGCATCCTTTTAACTGTAATTCTGAAATAATATTTCTTGAAACTGTTATAAACATGCCACGTTGGAATAAAATATTATAAATGGCTGTTTCCCCTTTTCTTCAGCGGACTTGCATTTGAT